TCTCTCTCTCTCTCTCTCTCTCTCTCTCTCTCTCTCTCTCTCTCTCTCTCTCTCTCTCTCTCTCTCTCTCCCCCTCCCCCTCCCCCTCCCTCTCTCTCTTACACATGCTCATGCAACGGATTTGAATCTACACATGCTCACACGTCCGTCAACAACTTCACAAATGACAAGTACCGGTAGTCTGCCCCAACAGAAAGAGAGCAAACGACGACGTCTGTCATAACATACCCTCCCTCAAAATGTCGATATCCCCATGCAGGTCGTCCCTCTGCTCAAAAGGCACATGAAGGACCACCGTGTACGTGACCGGGTGGTGCATGCGGTCACGGAACTCCATGCCGAAATTCGTGATTATCATGCGCATCATCTCCGCCAATACGTCCACTCCGCCAATGAACCTGGTCGGCACAGCCGTCCCAACCCTCGTGATGTGCATGATGACTTTGCGAAGCGCCCGTCGACTGAATCCGAACCCTACGACCACCGCAAGACATGTCACTGCATTGGCGTCCGCTTCGTAATACCGAAAGTCCTTATGGTTGACATGATGATCGAATTCCATTGCCCTTCCGTGTGCGTTGCCTCTCCTGTGTTGATACTCGTAGAAGACGACAGTGCGGTTAAGCACCACGCCGCGACAACAGATGACGATGTCCATCCCCGCCGCCTGAGATGGTCGTCGATCGAAGGGCGATGTGGAATGTTCCTTGTCGACCCATTTGCAGACACTGCACTCCCGCTCCACCCCCCCTCCCGCCCCCGAGATGTGGACAGTCTTCAACGGCCACAGCACGACACTGCCGACAAGCACCACCGGGCACCACAGTGATAACCGCCATGTATGCCGTTGTTATATAGGTCAGAGGAAGGTGGCACGGGTGTGGGAGTGGGGAGGTGCAAATTGGATAGTAGGAGACCGTCACAATTTCGTCATTGGTTCGTCGTTGACCAGTCATGATTCAACGGCTCCATACGGAGGTGCCCATTGGAACACAGAAACAAAAAAATGCATTCCATGGCGAGAAAAAAAACAAACAAACACGAAAATAATTTACAACATGGAAGATCTCTGTCATTCCTACTACGTACGACCCCCAACGCAGCGATCGAGAATGCAAGACAGTACTGTCGAACAGCCTCCGCGACGCATGGCCAGCCACGAATGAACGAAACAAAAACCACGGGGGTGGGCGAAAGGTGATTACCCCGTTTCCTCGCAAAAAAAACACTTCCCCCCCTAATTCCCCCCCACGCCCCACTCCCACCTCCAACGATCTAACATGTCCACCCCCGATTACGCCAACTTTGCAGCGCTGCCCCTCCTACGGGTGGAACAACGCCTCCGCGATCTTCAACAAAGCGTCACACAACATCCGCTGGCCCGCATCCATCACGCCACACTGTGTTGTGCACTTTCACCTCCCTCTCCATGATATCGCATTGTCGTTGAAGGACGTCGCACTGCCGTTTGCTGGCCCTGTCCACTGAATCGGCCACGACTGTTGAGTGAGTGGTCATGACGTCCGTCACCGCCTCAAAAGCTTCCTGCCTTGCATTTTTCCTTTTCGTGAACTTCATCCCGCTTGACGACCTGCTCGCGCAGCCTTCCCCGGCCTCCCCATCGCCATTATCACTCGCCGAAGTTTCGCCCGTGCCGCCGTTGTTTGCACCTAGTTGCTCAGAAGCCCCCGTGTCCACCACATTCGGCGGGTGGATGGTTTGACTGACCGACATGGATTGCCTCGTAAAGTCGACGATCCATCTGAAACTTGTACCCTTTATCGGCTCGTTCTTTCGGCGTTGGCGTGAAAAACAATTGTAGCCTGGACTCCTTCTCCCTCCATTGCACCTTCTTGGACCACGAGAACATATTCTCCCATCTCTTCATGCACACATCCCACTCACGGGTCACCCCCAACACCTCCATCCTCTTCGCGATATCAGTCCATTTCCACTGCTTCATCTTCATCCTCGCAAAGTTATGGCCTGTTGCAACAAGAGTTTTGTCCTGCTCCCTCTTGCAGCGGACGAGGGTGATGGAGTTATCCAGACTCCATATTATCCTTCCCCTGCCGCTCTCGCCACCCCCTTCTTTGGCCTTCCCCTTCAAGCCCCTTCGGAGCTGGTTTCCTCGCCGGTGTTTTCTTCTGACTCTTTGTCGTAGGCCATGGCTCCTCAGCGTCGACTTCGTCATTTTCCTCCTCTACGTCGTCTGCTGCTGCATCTTCCACGATTTCACAGTCCGCAACCCCACCGCCACTGCCATCTCCGTCACTCATGGCGAGCATCGTGGACACCTTGGCGATGATGTCGTCCACGACATTGGCTTGCCTACCCTCCGACGATGCCCAAACCCTTGTCGTCGGTCGCGTCACCGTCGGACCTGCATGAATGTTGGTGTTGGCAGGTGCGGCTGTTGGCTGCAAGCTCGCAGCATCCGGCCGCCAAGCCGACTGTCCGTCTGACACGTCTCCCTCCGAACGGCTGGCGGGATTGATGATAAGCGTTAGTGACGCGGCAGGGCGACCCCCCGAACCCCCGAAGACAATTGCAGATCGAGGGGTGGGCACATTCCCTGGTGCAATTCGTCGAACGGAAGTGACGTCATTGGCCCCTGCCTCGACCGCTGATCTCTCACCCACACTCCAGTGTCTGATATGGACTGGGTGGAGCCGTGCACGAGGTCGAATGTCGATGGAGGCGGTCGCCAATTCTCATCGTCGGGAAGGGGCTGAAGATGCGGCGGAAGGTGACACTTTGCATAAAGTGCTGGATCGTAACGTGGTGTATCCGATGGAAAACACCCCTCGTCGCCACCCTCGGAAACCCCGTACATGAACATGTCCCCCCGTCGCCTTCGGCACCCATTTCTCCCTTACACGTTGGATGCGTGCTCGATCTCGTCGCCTTCCACTTGTGGGGCACAACACTTGCACGCCTCGAGGACCACAGGTGCAGTATGAGCAGGAGCAGCAATAGGAGGACAAGGACACAAAGCAGCGACAACTTCCTCGCATGGTCCGCCATGCACGTCGCAGCACAGCGCACACAACAGGAAACGACAACGGAGGTTTACAGAAGCATGTGCGAACGCCGGTGCAGCAACCTGCAGCAATCGTGCTTGTCTTGTACTTCCATGTGGACCTGCCGTGATAAAACATCCCTCGCCCAGAGCGCAGTGTCCAAACGACTACGAGTAGCTGTGGCGTGCGACCGATTTGAATCTTCCCACCTCGATGACGGTGCACCGCGCGCTACAATGGTCACCTCACATGTGTGCCCCAACCCCAACGGCCCGCAGGAAGCCGCAACCACCAAACTCAACAGTTTCACTGCTGGCACCCGGTACCACTGTCGGAAGGCGATGCGATGCAGCCACGGAAGTTGACTCGTTGTGGTCAACCTCCGCGCTGCGTCAAGTCTGCGCCATGGAACTATCCACGACCTCGGTCAGTTAGGCCCTAGCGCATCGGTCGAAACTCCCTTGGGCCGAAGCCACGAAAAGGATGGCACAACAGTATAACCCTCTGGGGGTCTGATCATCCCTTGTGGACTGAACCGTCACGACCGCAAGGGGGGAATTAGTGAGGTCTGGTCCAAATGGCACCTGAACCGACCAAGGGTTAGTGAGATATTCAAGTTTGACCGGTTGGGACAGGACCGACACGGCCGCGTAACCTGGTCGGAAACGGAATAGTTTTAAAACAGTCAAATAATTAAATAACTAGGCCCTAGTAATAATTAAGATGGGGCCACGTGCTATCTTAGGGACGAGACTAACTGTTCATTTCCCAAAGTCGGGCCTGCACCAGTCCCGTGCTAAAATTAGCACAGTCCCACGCTATTTTTAGCATGGAACTGATTGTTCGTCTACCGGGGACTGGGCCTGCGCCAGTCCCGTGCTAAAATTAGCACAGTCCCACGCTATTTTTAGCGTGGGACTGACTGTTCGTCTACC